TATGGGTAATCTAGGATAGGTTGTTTGGCAAACATAACAGTGTGGAAAGGGGAATTGACCAGCCAAGTTCAAGTTCTATGCTCATCTGTTACAATCACTTCACCCTATTACATTTGGGAAAGACATGAATCCATTACCTCCCAGCAGCCATGGGTTATATAGCTGGACAGGCTGGCTTTTCTGGACTTGGATGGCAACCAGTCTAGGGAAAGAACAACTCAGAATGCAAAACTGTAGAGAAGGCAGTAGGAAGGCACTCCACTATCTCTCACAAGGAGTCATGGCAATTCTCAGATACCATATATTCTCATGTATAAACCAATTTTATGTACAGTGCAACCACTGAATATTCTTGTATGAATTTTAACCTTACCAGAAAAAATTTACCTGTGTAAAATGCAACTGGTCACCAAAAAGGCATATTAACTTCTTCAAAAAATTTACCTGTGTATAGTTGTTGTAACCTAGGGAAGGATACTTAATAGAATAATCAAACGAAGGTTGGTAATGAATGATAATACTTAGGACAAGAACAACATATATAAGATTCGCCAGCAGCATGTAGAAGAAGAAGTCAACTGCTAGAAGTGAGTCAAGTGAATTCTACAATGAATCTCTAACTGCAGACCAACATACAGTATTTATTACTGTATTTATTTGAATGGGGGACATACCCATTATCGTCTATAGGTATGCTACAACAATAGTACAATCGGTCACCAAAGTATTGAATTAGTTTTAACCTCTTCAAAAATATTACCTGTGTATAGTTCAACCCCCTATTTTTGCATAAAATACTGATCATAGAAACTTGCATTATACATAAATATATACAGTAACTAAGAAATGGTAACTGTGAAGAGCCATGATCGACTGTGTTCAGAAGTGACATGACATGAAAAATAGAAAAAAAGCTTGTATATTATTATAGTTGTTGTTTCTGTTGTTGTTATAATGATAATAATAATAATAATATGCATCAAAAGGTAAAAATCAATAATAATGCTAATTGTAATAAAATAAATAGGTAAATAAATAGAATAAAATTCATAAGATAAAACTTCCTGTGAAAATATCTGCATGTAGCCAAGCAGAAATGAATAAATTATTTAATTTGTGAGCTTTTTGCTCATATATAAGCTTATCATATTCTCTTTTGGCCCCTTTGCTCACAAATCCCCAACACCAACCTATCTGCTCCTCGTCACTCATGGCCTGGCAGCTTGTGTGTAATTAGCCATATATAATTGTAAGTATACAAAAAACAGCTGGAGATACTTCTCCCTCTATTAAGTGATTCTACTTCCATACCATGTTGGCCTAAACCTTATTTCTTTGCAGTGTAGACTTAACACCTATGTTAAAAAGAACTCCCCACTTCTTCGCCATCTTAGGTCTTTAATATCTTGAGATTTCTACTAACGGCTCATACACCAGGCCACACAAGCATGTCGCTTTGTTGACCTTAGCTAAGAAACAAATAGAGAAAGAAATAAATAAAACATGGCTTTCATCTGTTTGATGTACCAGAAATATAAAACTATAGATTGGATTCTGATTTTTTGTTTAACCAAACACATTAATCATATATGGTGAAACATTGTAATATTATTTGTAATGAGATTGTCATGAATGTTTGGTGGAATAGGAAGAGATATAATGGTTATTATAGAAAATAAGTATTTGTTAAGCTCCATGGCTATTAATATAAGTATAAATATGTGATCACCTTTGGCTCAATGCTTAGGTCTACTTCTTCTATATGCTATGTCTCTTCAAAACATTGGTGATCATGGCTCTCCACAATTTCCTGTCCTGTTTCCAATAGCTCTTAATAAATTTTGTCTTGTTATTTCTCCAAAATCTTGTTCCACCATCCATTTACTCAAGCTTACTAGGTAGGTTATGCATTGTTTTCTCTTTCACTTGCCTTCAATCTGTCTTATGAGTATCAAATTTTCCAAGCCCTTCTTTCCTCACTATGTGCCCTAGAAATTTTAACTATTTTTAAATTGACTTATTTTATTAATACTCTAAATCAATAAACTCTTTTATTAACACTGAGTTATTCTATTTTTAATTCTTCCCTCATACAGAAGCCAATGTACAATGTTAGAAATTCAATTATTTTTTATAATTAATTTCAAGTGGAGTTAGCACCGTAGGAGGTACTTCAGAAAAGTCTTAGGTTTAGACAACTTGAAAACAATGTGATTGTATTCTTTAGAAACTATTTAGAAATTTCTTCTTCAATGTACCATGTCCCTTCAGGACATCAGTGATCATGGCTCTCCACATTTACTCTTTGTAGCTCTTAATAAATTTTATTTTTTGCAAGAGAAATATGGTTCTACAGAAGGATTCTGAGAATACCATGGATGTCATGTGTATATAATGAGGAATTTTTAGGAAAAATGGAAATAAATGACACTTGTACTTAGAATCATTTAGAGATATTTGTGATTTCTGGGGAACCATGATTAAAAAGGGCTTGGGAAATTTGACACTCACTTCCCATCTCTTGTATTTTTAGGAAACATTTTACTTTTTACTATGTCTTCTTACTACAGTCCATTCCTACAAACTATGTATAATGAGTTTGTAGGAATGGACTGTAGAAAGAAGACATCATTATTTTATTGTGCTATGTCGCTTCAGGACATGGGGTATCATGGCTCCCTACAACGTTCTGAGCCTTGGAGCTATAATCAGCGTTTGACTTTTTACCATCTCTCCTTATTTCTGATCTGCAATCTGTTTCTACAAACATTATATATGTCATCATCATTTAAATACAGTGACTCTTCAGCACATGGGGGATCTTGGTTCCCCACATCTTCTTGTTCCTTTAAGCAACTGACTCATTACCACCTCAATAAGACAGCAGTGACAAAAGGACAGTTTTTCCAATGACACTGTTAATATTTTAACTACCTTCACTTTTTAGCAATATTTACTGTTTTAAAAAGTGATGATTAGAATTGTAATAAAACCTAAACATAAGAAAGTGAATTTATTCATTTTTTTTGTTCTTGAGAACTGACAACAAAAATAATAAACACTATTTAATATGTGATTGCTTATTTACACTATTTATATTATTTATTGAATGGTTGGCAAAACATCAGCTAATTGCCAATGGATTCAAACTTTATACAATGGTAAATAATAAGGTTTTCCTCATAATTGGTTCACATTTTAATAATTTAGTAAATGTTTATAAATTTATGAATAAAATACTTTTATTTCTTTATTAATTAGTAAATTATAAATATTGTATCACATTAGTTTTAATTATATTAGTTTTTAAAATGTTTTAAATATAAAATTATTCTTTTAAATAAACAATCTAATATATAATTAGCATCTAATTATATATATATATATATATATATATATAAATACTATTTTATTATAAAATATTTTATATATATTTTTATATATATATATAAAATATTTTATATATGGATACTGAAGTCAACACTAAGTGGTGCGAGAGTCTGTTTCATGCTTGAACACAAACTTCAGACCTGAAGATTGTATTCAAGCATGGAGCATAATGTTACCACTTGTTGTTGAGATCACTGCCCACCTTTATATATATATATATATATATATACACACACGTATACAAGGCTAAGATGGAGTCTTGAATGGCCACCTTACTAGATATGGTGTCTCAATAAAAACACTCAGTGTACTTGGACTACCGTGAATGTCAGAGTTGTTGTGAAGAAGGGCATCCTACCTTGCAAAACCTTACCCCAAATCATCGTGACAAATCTTTTCTTAGACAGGACCCATTTTGCTTTGTACGAAATTAATCCTGGTCCTGCCTCAACAAAAAAATAAGGCAATGTATGTATGTATGTATGTATGTATGTATGTATGTGTGTATAACATTGATAAAAACTTGGATTGGCAATGAAGATTGGATGGTATAAGGGAGAAAATAAGAAGATACAGGCAAATAAGAAGAGAAGATCAGAAACTTGAAATATTGGATAAACTTGTCAAAACCTGTGTAATTTTTTAATCTAGCTTATTTAAATTTTATTTTCATTTTGTTATATTTTATGCATGTTGCATTATGAATTAGAATATCACTTGATCCAGTCTCTACAAATCTTTTTTTTAATAAGTTGTCTTTGTTTACACTACTGTAACAAGGGACTTATTTTACTTATACATCTACACCAAACTGATCCCAGAAAGGGTAAATAACATATCATAAACCTTTGGTTTCTGGTAGCAGATTACTGGTTGTAATTTTTTGCTCATGTAGATTTGTTCCATTGATATGAACTTCTCTCTTATCAGCATAGAAAATCAAAATTGTAATAACTGCTGACTCTCTTGGCTTACATACCTTCCTTTCAATTTTCTCTGTCCAATCCTTAATGATGCAAACAAAGATAACAGTAGTGGTGATGAAAGGTGATGACAATTCATAGTTTCTTTTCTCAGAGCATCCTCTAATAAAACATTTGTTTTTTGGAAGAGACTTGCAAATTCCCATGGGAGTTTTCAATGCATTTGTTTTTTTTGCTGTTTACTTCTTTAACTTTTATTATTACAAGGATTTGCACTCTTACATGCTACAATCAAAGGAATTTTTCTGTCATCCAAATCATGACAATTCTGTGTACTTGTTATTTATTCTGTCTTTAGTCATTTTGCAAATTTTGTTTTTTTTTTGTGGGGTGGGGCAGGATTTCTTTTAATCTTCTCTTATTTTTTGGGGGGCCTTTTCTTTTTTTCTCCTTTCTCTTTCTTTTTTGTTTTTATATTCTTCAGTGTTTTCTTTTTTTGGCCTTCTTTGTTGTCATTTTTGTGATGCTGTGGTGTACAAAGTGACCCTGTCTTTAGACTTCCATTGGCTGTTTCAGTTTTAATCATTTTCCCTCCCAATTAAAAGAAATCACACATTTTAGTTGAAATTTCTTAAGATATTTAAAGTAGAATATAGTTATTTATCAAGTGTAGCATTGTTGAGTCCAATGTCACAACATTCCAAGAAGATTAAACTCACTGCAATGTCCATGGTATAGGAATATTTTTAACGAAGAAGTGAAATTCAGATCACTTCTCTATTAGAAATAATCACTTTCTTTCCAGTGATTTTGAGCACTGTTTGTGAAAGAAGTGTTTTACAGATTTTTCCTGCTATTCTTTTGGGAGAAGCACTCTTTGAGAGTTAGTTTTTACTGATTAATTCATTTTCTATGGGTTATCAACCCTTTACAAGTTATTTAAAGTCAGAAAATATTTTTAAATTGCAAGAAATTTTTCATGAGATAATTTAATGATACGTCTTCAACCCATAGATGTGGGGATTCATACCTTTCCCAAGGGTATTTTCCCATAAGTGAATGTCATGAATCCAACTGGAATTGGAACTTGGCTCTCCAATTAACAATCCCATTACACCAACTGCACATCCAAGCTTACAGCACCTGGTATTCTCAAGCAGTCACCTATCTTGGTACTGATAAGGCTCAACATTGCTTAACTTTGGTGATCATATGGAAACTGATGTTTCAACATGATATGACTGTCAGTCCTCTTTGGGAATCAGTCTTCAAACAGTAAACATGACGCTTGAGTTGTCTTAGTTTATTTTATGACATATCAATAATTTTGGGGTTGTTTAATGATGAAACCAGTACTTTTTTATTCTATTTGAGTGTATAATCATTTACCTCGCTTGTGAATAGGTAAATATTGGTTGTTTGTATTTAAGTCTGTAAGCATTTATTTGGTTCAAGTATAGATAAATATTGTTCATTTATATTTGAGTCTATATTTACTTGATTTGAGAATGGGGAAATATTTGTATTTGTCCATAAGCATTTTCTTTGTTCAGGGATAGATAAATATTAATCATTTATATTTGTGTCTATAGGCATTTACTTGTTTTTGCATTAGGTAAACATTGGTAATTTATATCTAAGTCTGTAAGCATTTACTTGGTAGACACAAACAATTGGATGAAGACTAGGGAAAGTAGTTTTTAAAGTAAATAATTTTTTTTTGTAGTAAAATTCCTCAAATATTTGGATAACACTTTGTACGTCTGCAGTTATACAGCAACAGCCAATTTTGAAAAAGCCCGAAAATGATTTATGAATTCCAGTTGATGAATATGGACATAACTAAATGTCCACATTCATCAGCTGGAATTAATAAATAAATAAAATTAAATTTTAATAAATTTCAACTGAGGAGTTCTTGCATACAGTTGATATAACTATTATATCAACTGTAAGCATGAACCCCTAAGTTGAAATTAATTTGGCCATAATATTATTTTTTAACACGGCTATATTTCAGCTTACTATGCTTTGCAAGTTTAATTTGCCATTGTGTATAAGAGGTGGCAACTTTGTTTAAGAGATGAAGGGAGCCATTTTGAATATTGGATTTATTAAGAAAAGTCATAAATAATTTCTGTATTTGTTAAACAATTATCCATTTTCTTCATTTTGCTAACAGTGTGTGTAACTCAAAACACCCTGTTTGCTGACTTAGCTCTCTTTTCTGAGTGTCAACATATAGTAGATTGTGATGTTTGTAACATTTTTTAACATCCTTTAAGTACCTTGCCATGAATTGCCTCCCACTAATTTTAAAGAATCAACATCAAAGTTCAATGTATGCTCCTGCACAACACTTTACAAACCAATTTCATATATGACAGTCAGTTACGACTCCTTGACCATAAACACTACATATTTTTCTAGATATCTTAAAGAAACTTTCTTCTTATTCTTATACACAGAATTCAAATTATGGTTTCATAAGTTTGCATTCATATTCGCACAAATGTCTTTAGGAACAGTATGACTCCATCTCTTCTTCCTCAGCTATGGGTTAAATAGCAGGGTAGACTTGGTACTCTTAGTCTTCAGTGGCAGCCAGTCTAAGAGAAGGGAACTCTTAATTTTAAACTCTGGAGAAAGCAATGGGAAGTCACCCCATATCTTTCCCAATAATGCATGGTAAGAAAAGCAATCTGTGCACCTGATCCCAGTTAAAAGAAAATATTAGATGTAATCATCTTCAGATTTCTTAGATGAGGCATTGTTAGTTCTTAATAATTTTTGACTATCTTCATCTTATTTCTGTTGCTTTTTGTTCCATTTCTCAATAAGATGAAAAAAACACAAGTCAAAATTAATAAGTGACAATACTTTAATAAAATATTTAAAGACTATTCTCCCTAATACTATTGGCCTCATGAAGAACAAGAGAAATAAGATGAATGAAATACAAGTCAAAAATTAATAATAACTAGCGATACTTCATCTCAGAAATTCAAATACTATTGCATTTAATGTGGGATGTGATGAGATTAATTACTTATGAGACAACTGCTGATTTGAAATGCTCTCTTGAAAGCAACATAAATTGGAAAAATCATGTAAACATGTGCAGAATGAGCTGGCACAACAACATTTATATCTTTTTTCTTAATCAAGTTCATCCTAAGCAAGGCAGTAAATCCACAAAGACAAGGGGTTACAGAGTGTGGATGAATTAGAAAACTGAAATATTACTAATGAGCGAGAACAAAAGAAGAGTCATCAGCAGGAGAGTAAATAGCAGTTGACATTGCATTTAAATTTCTGAAGATTAAAGTTGACTGGAAATCATGAATCCAGAAGAGTTCCACAAGTGAGAAGTGAGAGAAAAGAAACTGTTAGCATAGTACTTACGGTTACATCTAGCCAGTTCAATTGATGACACCTTGTTGCCAGTCTAGTACTGCACTTAAATTCATAAAGTCTAGGTACCATAGCTAAGAACTCATTTGAACAGTTGCCATGAAAGTATTTATAGAAAAGGCTCAGGAAGGCAACTTTATGGTGGTGGGAAAGTGACTGAAGCTGAGATGCCAAATCAATACCAATAATATTGCTGATTCTTCATTTGCATCTTTTCTGTAATTTGAAGATGACATACAAACTAAAACATTTTTAAGTCCCTATTAATCCTGAGGCTACATGGTGGCATATTGAATATTTCTTAACATTTATTTTTTGTTTTTCTACAATTCCTCTCTGTTTTTTTTTTTTTTGTCACTCTTTCTCATTTTTCTTTCTCTCTTTCTCTTTTCTCTTTCTATTCTCTCATGCTCCACTTTCCTTCTTTTTTCTATCCCTTACTCTTCCTATCTTTTCACTATATTTTCATTTCCTTTCCTTTCTCTACTGTCCTGACTCTTCTCTTTTTATTTTCTGCCCATTCCTCTTACTTTCTTTTTTCTATCACCCTCCAGTTGTTCCCTTCTTTTATCTACAAATCTCCTTCTCTTCTTTTTCTTTCCTGCTTCCCTTCTTTCCTCTACCCCCCTCCTATTCTTTCTTTCTTTTCTATGCCACCATCCTTCACTTCCGCTCTACTTTTCTTACTTTTTCTCTTTCCCTATCTTTCCTGTCTTTTCTCCACAACCCTCATCTTATCTTTTTATCTACCAGCCTCCTTTCCTTTCTTTCCTCTATCACCTTCCTCCACTTTCTTTCTTTTCTTTACCACTCTCTCCTTTTTTCTCTGCCATCTTCTTTTTCATCTTTTTATCTGGCACCCTCCTTTTTCATCTTTTTATCTGGCACCCTTCTTTACATTTTTCTCTCTCATCTTCTTTCACTTCCTTTCCTACAACCTTCCTTCTTTCTCTTCGTCTCTCCTCTATTTTCCTTCTTTTCTCTAGTACACTCTCCTTCTCTTCTTTTTCTTTGTCCTTATCTTTTTTCAGACATCTTCCTTTTCTTCTTTTTATCTGTCACCCTCTTTCCTGTCTTTTCTCTACCACCACCATTTTCTTCTTTGTTATCTAACCCATCTTTTTCCCCTTATTTTATATGCCATTCCACTTCTCTTATCTTTTCCAAATGTCATTCACCTTTTCATTCTCTTACACTTCTTACCTTTTTTGTCTTTTTACACTCTACCATCTCTCATTCCTTCCATTCTGTCCACTATTAAACACAATCTATTCTTAAACCAATATCCCTTTTACAATAGTTAAAAAAAAATTCTTTGTTGCATTGAGAAGAAAAACTTTCCTCTTTAAACTTATCATCTCATCATTTTTTTCTCACCAAGAATGTTTGGCCTTCCACTCTTGGTAGACACAGAAAAAAGTTCATTTAGGGATGAATCAGGGAGAATTATATATGATTTTTTTTTTTTTTTTTTAGATTCACTAAAGAAAATATCTTTTTTTCTTCCCAGTTCTCAAAATTATTTACCTTTTGCCCTTTTATCTCCCCAGCATTCCATTTTTCTTTGAAAATTGCTTTGTTCATTTTCTTTCATTTGTTTTCCTTATTCTGAAAAAAAAAAAAAAAGAAATACTCTTTTTTTTTTCCTCAAGGGATTTCTAAGAATTCTATAGATGACGTTTTTTTAAGCAATCTTTTTTCCAAAGCAGTTTGATAATTGCAGAAAATGTTTTCAGTTTACTTTACAATTTGTATAGTGTATCACAATAAATATATACAAATTTTTTAAAAGTAAATTTTTAACCTCATATGATAATGCTTTATTTTGACATGAATCATTATGCCTTTATAAGCTAATCTTTATTAAATATTTTTTATAATGATTATAAAATTATCAAATCCAGCTGAAGAACATGAATGAATTATTATTAACTTAAGATTGTATGCAGGCATTGGAGTATTATTAATGTGTACATGCAAATGTTTATATAATATATAAACTGGTGAAAAAATAAAATAAATAAAATTATCACATCCTGAATGTAATCCAAATCAAAAATCTTCTCACTTCTGTTGGAGGAAACCCTCCCTGGTTGATCTCCATTACTTCCTATTTCTTGTTATACTGGGCCATGTGGGGCCAAGGTATCAAGTCAGATAGTTACACCATTTTTCCTTTGGCCGCTCTCAAGTTAATAACATATTCAAGATGTTAACATATCACAGTACTTCAAGTAGAAGCTTTGGAAGCAAACCCCCATCAATACTGGAAAGAGTGATAACAGTGACTTAAGAAACTGTTGTGGCCTTGTTATGGCCAGAAATAAAGACACAAAGAGAAGAATTGAGTTAAGCAAATATATTAACAGAAAACAGTAATGCAAACATATACAAACGAGAGTGTTACAGCAAGAATGTTCAGTCCAACTGTCAGTGCTGACTGCTGGAAACTTCCTGATATTTATTGGTACAAATTGTGGCACAGTGCCAAAATGGGGGATAGGGAAAAAGACGGTCTTCATCTGTCTTAATTTTAAACTTAGCTAGCCACAAACACTGATCCAAACATACATCAATATTCCTAACACCAAAACAACACATTCTTACTTACCTTTCTTACTACATCCACCATAATACCTCATTGTCTCTAATGAAAATCCTAACTTGTTCCCATATGTATAATTCATTGTCTGTGAGGAGGGGAATAAAACAACAATTTAAAAACTAGCTCCCAAACTTCCCTCTCCAAAAGGCAGTACCTGCTCCTATTGATAGCTGGGAAAGTCAATGCATGCACGGGTAAATTACCATAACAGAAACCCATTTTCCTAGAAAAGTGTTTTAAGAGAAAAGATCTTAAAAATTTCAACCAAAAACAGTACTAGCTGCTCAATCAATGAATGCCAAATATTTCCTTATAGGGAAACGGTTAATATTACCATTACCACTCTTTAACACTAATAGTCCACTTGTTGTCTCTGAAATCAGAGACATGGCCAGCCCATTTATGTTTGTCCTTCTTGATGGTCTCACTTATATCCTTTACTCCAGTCTGCTGTCAAATCCAGGTGCTGCATTTCCTGTCATGTAAAGATATGTTGAACATGTTACACTCCATTTAACATTGGGCAACTGCAAGAGTTTCTGCAGTGGTGTTGTTAATCACTCATGTCTCACTTCCTTAAGTCATAACCAGCAAAACATATTCATTAAATATTTATTCATATTCATTTAATGAGTATTAGATTTTCACATAAAATTTTCAATGGCTTCAGTCATCTGGTGACCTTGTAGCACATGATCTGTGTCTTAACTTTCGACAGTGTCAAAAGTTTCAATAATGTTCAGTGTGGTGAAAACTATTCACTTCTTAAGCAAATATGGCTTCTCCTCTTGTAAGTCCCCTACAGGGAAGCTTATATAAGTAGGTGTTTAAAATATGTTTTGCTAATTATATAATCTTTAAAAAAATTATTTCATCTCAAGCCTGACAATAATGCAATTGCAATACAAGGGGCTACTGAAATTAAAAGAGAATGAAAAGACTTTCAATGAAACCAGAAATCCAATCCTAAACAGGAAAGGGATAAACCTCTACTCCTGTTCAAAATACCAGGAAGAAGTGTGAACCAGGCAATATGTGATCTACTCCTATTGATGAAAAAAAAAATAAGTAGTATTATTTTCAAAGTTTAGGTGCAGACATTAGAAGTATAGAGTTGAAGTAGAATTTGGAAGTAACCTGAAACTCAAACCTAAACAGGAAACAAGAGATGAACCTCTATTCCTGTTCAAAAGACCAATGAATTGTGTGAACCAGACCATAGGCAAACCTATCTACTCCTAGCTGACATTACTTCATACATACAATTTTAGATAGAACATTAACTTAACAAAAGCAGGTGTCATGCCATAGAGATGCACACTTGCTGATTTTGTTCAATTATAGCTGCTTGATAGGTGGGCCTTTGAGAAGATAGATGATCATTTTGGAGAAACACTGCACATGTTGGATATGAGGTGTCACTAGTGCTTAGATGTTAGTAACAGTAGTGAAATAAACATTCCAAAAGATGAAAACCAGGTTCTAGAGGGCTACACTCACCAGAATTGATGCATTGTAAAGGCTGCAGACCGCAGCACAGATCAGAGATGTGTGTGTGTATATATATATATATATATATATATATATATATATATTTCATTCACGTGGGTAGATTGTTCTAGTTCCACATGGCATGCCTCTTCTGGATGTCTCAGTTATTTCCCTTTAACTCTCCAAGTTTTTTGGTTCACCACTGCTCTATCTTGGTATTGAACTCACAACTTTTTTTGGGTCTAGTCACTGAATCTAACCAGTACTTTTAGCCACTGAGCCATGTGTCCTTGAAAGAGTTCAGTTCTAAATTCCAATCACCTGAAGAAGGCCAAAGCATACAACGGCCAAAAAATTGTGAATATGGCAATGAAGATGAGGATAACCGTCCAAATAATGTAATAAAAATCTTAATTTAAAAGTTAAAAATTTCAGCATCCCCTCTCCTTCATGCACATGTGTAGTTACATCAACTTTAGTCCAATGAAGTTCTAAAGAAGAAAATGCATTACACAATTTTTTTTTTCACTTTGTCATTAATTTTCTAAAATATTTTTTTTTTAATTTAGTCTCTAAACTGCAAACTTTTGCATACACAATGACTTATATTGTTTGACTGCAGTATAAATAGCTTACCAAAAATGAACACATGTCATTTGGATTTTCATACATGCAGAAAACATTAACCATGTCAAAAAAAAAAGTATGGAGTATAAATGTAAGGCTTCTCTTACTTTTGCACATCTTAATTTTGAATTAATATTTTGATTCTATTTTATTTTATTTACTTAATATTATCTCAGGTGTTCACTTACTTCTGTGCAGCACTGTATATATATATATATATATATATATATATATATATATATATATATATATATATACACAAACACACAGTGGAACCTTGGTTCATAAATTTAATTCATTCCTGAAAGACGTTCATAACGAGAAATGTTCGTAAGCAGAAACAAATTTTCCAACAGGAATCAATGTAGAGAAAAAAGTCACAGTACAATAAAATTGGTAAAAAAAAAGCACAATACGACACACGAATGTATACAACACAGCAGTCAACTCAGAGATGATTCCCTTTGGGTTAAATCGGTTCAGCAACATTATTCAAAAAATTTAATTCGATAACCGAGGCATTTCCATCTCAAATTTTCTGTTTGAAAACCAATTTCTTCAACATGTGAGATGTTCAAGAACTGAGGTTGCATTGTGTATGTATGTATGTATATATATATATATATATATATATATATATATGATATATTTCATCATCTTCATCATCTTACTTTTTCGTCTTGTTACTTTTTTATTGCTTTCTTTTATATTCTTATTATTTATGGATGGTTATTTGTTTATTTTACTCATTTCACCCCAAGCAAGGCAAGAATGCCACTAAGACGCAAAGGATGAGATAATATGAGAAAAAAAAACATGATTAATGAGAGAAAATAATAAAAGAATGGGAATTAAGAATACAGAAGCTAACGATTGATATTGCATTAAAAGTTTTCAAGATCAAATTTGACCAAAAAGCAAGAATCCAGAAGAAGTGAGAGAAAGAAACTGTTAGCATAAAATTGGCAGTTACATCTAGCGGCATTTCAACTGTAAAATAATGAGACTTTGCCACCAAATTAGTGCAGTGCTTAAATTGTAAAGTCAAGGAAACCAAAGTGGAAAGTTCATCAAAACAATTACCATAAAAATATTTATAAAAAATGTACAGGAAAGTACATTACAGAGGTGATAAATTGACTGAAGCTGACATATATCCTAATTCACTTTCTTACATATTATCTGTAAGTACCTTATATATAATACTGCACACACACATACAAATATATATACAGGTTGAGCATTTAAATACATTAATAATAAAAAAATATCAATTAAGTTACCTCTCTTACATATTCTTAATGTTAATTTTTAAATTGAATACATAGAGTGCATTTCATGTGCATTTATAAAAAATTCACAACTATCAATTACATTAATTTTTGTTTTAGCAATTCACCCTTGAAGATGATTTTGGATGATATTGAAAGTACTTGGGAAAATAAAAGAAATAACCAAAATTATGGCACCTTTCTTAATCAGTTTTCTAACAGGGCTAAAAAATTGATCCATGAATTTGAGCTGATTAAAATAAAAAT